ATTAGTGTTAGTGTATTATTACATTATTAGGACGTATCTAAATTCTACTGTACATCAGTAATATATTTCTGTCAGGTTAAACCGAACTTTTATTTTGACGGGTTGCCGCAAAGACTTTTTGAGTTTCTGTGTGTTTGTCCTGATAGTTTCTCAAAAGAACCAGTTAAATGATCACAAAGTGACCTTTCAGAGTAGATCTAGAGTCTGGAAAGGAAGTTTATGTCTTCATATAGGCAAAAAACAGCGCAAGTGTCACACGTGTCGTGTGTGTGATAAATGAAACTTTCACACGGAACAAGGCAAGCAGGATTCGTGTTTAAATAGTCTTTGTGGTTTAATATTCACACACTAGTCTACATCGCGATTTGATTTCAAGTAAATTCCTTTTTTATGACTGGATGAGAGAATGAATGTGTTAAATCAAATCTCATTCCTGTTGTGATTGGCTCCTGATAGGATCAACACCCCCAGGAAGCAGGGTGGACTCGGCTCCATGAACATCCCTCTGGTGGCGGACCTGACCAAGTCCATCTCCCAGGATTACGGCGTCCTGAAAGAGGAGGAGGGCATCGCCTACAGGTCTGTGATGTCCTGCTAATGTTTGCACACGTTCAGCTTCTCTCCTCTCGCGTCTGCCGAACTGAAAGCTTTGACACTTTTACATAACATTTTTAGATTTTCTGTAGTAATGCAACATACGTAGTGCTCCGCTTGAATCACACCTTCATTGTTGTCCAACTAGTTTATCAGCCATCATACAGATGTTGTTGTAAACAGACAAGACTGCTGAACAAACCTTTTTGTCCTGCTCTCTCAGAGGTCTGTTTGTGATTGACGATAAGGGCATCCTGAGGCAGATCACCATCAACGACCTGCCCGTGGGCCGCTCGGTGGACGAGACCCTGAGACTGGTGCAGGCCTTCCAGCACACTGACAAATACGGAGAAGGTGAGAGAGTTTGACTGGGACAGAATGTGTAAACGGTGTCTAACATTGTTCACTCAAACCGCATTTGGAGGTAGTCAGAAACCTGTATATGTAGTGGAAACACATGCGTCTTGATGCCAACAGAGAACCGTTGACTCGAATAACACCGTTATACACAGAACATCTTTGGTGTGATTTGATCTCTACACTTGTTTTGCTTGAAATGTCAATAATATTTGAGAGCAACAGTGTGCTTCATGCAGTAACAGTGAAATCCGATCACAAGTGATCTCAGGAAATGTAACATTACACATGTTGTCACATTACAGTTGTTCATGTTTAATTCAGGTTTTATGTGTGTCTATATATAGAGTTCAGATGCAAAAGCCTCTAAGTGCCATTTGAAATTTTCTTCTAGAATGATGATTTTTATCAAGCTTGTATATTTAAGTTCAGTGATTTCACTTAAATGGCAATGATAATTACCTATTAATTGTTATTTAAGTGAAATTACTGAAGTTAAATATACAAGTTTGATAATCATCATTAAAGAAGAAAATTTCAAATGGCATTTAAAAGGCTTTTGCATCTGAACTCTTCATATATATATATATATGAAGAGTTCAGATGCAAAAGCCTCTAAGTGCCATTTGAAATTTTCTTCTAAAATGATCATTTTTATCAAGCTTGTATATTTAAGTTCAGTAATTTGACTTAAATGGCAATGAAGATGACCTATTAATTGTCATTTAAGTGAATTAAAAAAATTTCAAATGGCATTTAGAGGCTTTTGCATCTGAACTCTTCATATATATATATATATATTAGAGCCCAACCGATAAAGGATTTTGAAGGCCAATACCGATACAAATATTTTTGGGTTTTAAAATCCGATATTCCGATATATCTGCCGATATTTTTATTTATTTTAAACTGGACATGAGTCACAAATTGTCATGCTTATTTGAGTTAAGAGAACTGATGGGGATGTTCTTTTAATTGTTATTCAAGCAATGTATGTAACGTGCCTAACGAGTGTTGCCAACAGGAACGGTGTAGAGTGCCCTCTGGTGGACAAGCTATACAACTCCAACACTCATGACATGCTTCAAGCGTGTTTCGTCCGTTTTTATTTTATTTTTGAAATATTCATTTATCGGCCATTATAACTGCCGATACCGATAGTTTGGAAAATGCCTAATATCGGCCTGCCGATATATCGGTCTGGCTCCAATATATATATATATATATATATATATATATATATATATATACACACCAGTATCCGTTGCATGCTGATTTCTAATAACATGTCTGTCTGTTCTCTGTAGTTTGTCCTGCTGGATGGAAACCCGGAAGTGACACTATTGTTCCAGATGTGCAGAAGAGCAAGGAGTTCTTCTCCAAGCAGTAACAGTCTCGCCGTATCCCCCAGATCGTCCCCGTTCAGTGGGGTGTTGGTGCACTTAAATTTAGCCCGAGATTTCTCAAGTTCTCTTAGCCAACGTAACAAACTCTTTGGTGTTTAAATGCACTTGATCGACTGATTTCTTTCTTTCCTCTGTCTGAAGACGCCGTTCCAGTCAGCGTCCCTCATGCACTGAAATGTCTTTAGTTAGTTTGCAGTTCTAGTTAATCGGTATTACATATTTAGTACTAGGTGAACTTTTGATTAATTTTGAATTGTCACAAGTTGTTCCATCAGTATCTTTGTCAAATAAACAGGCTGTTATTGCATAACACTGCAGTTGTTTTATTGTGTTGGTATGGTCCAAGTTCATTACAAACTTATTTTTTAAAATTTGACTAGGTGTTCCCAACTTAAAGGGATAGCTCACTTTGAAATTAATTGGTATGTTTTAGCTTACCTCAAGGGCATCCAAGATGTAGGTGTCTTTGTTTCCGCAGTATTAATGAGGATCTATAATGGAGGTCTATGGTCACCACCTCAAAGAGCATGCACAGAGAAGTCCAAATTAAACATGATTTAATGACTCGTAAATGTAAGTACTCATTGATGGCCTAAGACACCAAACGAACAGTATTTATATCGTTTTTACCTCTTGTGACCACAGCCACGTCCAAGTGATCTGAGGGCGCTTATGACTGACAGAAAAGAACGGTTTGACCTAAAAATTGAAACTACTGCGGAAACAAAGACACCTACATCTTCGATGTCCTTGAGGTAAGCTAAAACATATCAAAAATTAATTTCAAAGTGAACTATCCCTTTAATAAGGGAGATTTAAACTGCTTCATGGCTCTCGTGTCATGAGTTTTCACTAAATTTGAGCAATCTCTGCTTGTAATTCTTCCAGAACACTTACTTGCTTTGTGTTCTAGTGGTAATCCGATACAAAATAAAGAAAAACTGGACCGGTAAAACGCATTGTCTCTGATAAATATTCCACAAAGGCTTTTGGTGAAATGAGTTGGGACAAATCAGACCAGTAGATGGCAGTATTGCATTACATTTGGAACGGCAGGAGTGACTTGTTGCTTATTGCCTCATAGACGAGTATAATTTTGATACATTCATTTATGTCAAGGTGGCTTTTAATATATATATATATATTCAGCAGATCTGAGAACTTTTCCATGGAAAAGTTTGTAATGAGATAGTACACATGATGATCTTTGTACATGAATGTGTAGCTGTCTCAAATGGCAGAATTGTATTGTGGCACAAGGTTGTGTCTAAAAGATTGTGTTTGTGCATCAGATGTGATTTGTAGACGTGTGGTCAAGTAAACGTCATCTGATAGTGGCTATCTTCTGCTGATAAAACACACCCAAAGCAACAATATTGCATGAAGGCTACAGGAAATCTGAGCATTTCACACTGCACTTTTGCTTTTATTTTCACAATTAGACCAGTCTTTTTATATAATAATCAAATCAGTAGCACAAACAAGATTAATTGATATGATGTGATCATGGGTGATATGAGTGTGTTTCAAGTAAATACTCACAGATAATGTATTTGAGGCTATTTGTTATGTTGAGCTACAGTATGACTTGAAAAAAAGTTTTACAGTTCAGTTAGCCGTTACCAGACTTTTGCTCAAAGTCATGACACCACAAGGTCATTTATTAGCAAGGAAATGTAATGCTGTGATATTTTATCTTGTTTTCAAACTTATGGTAACTTGATGCATCACCTCCAAGTCTTTTTTAATAAAACAATGTCCACTAAAATCTAATACGCTCAATTAATTTTTTTAAATAAGTACAGAATACTGCTTTTATTTATAGATCTGAATCAATATGTTCTTATTTTTGGGTTATAATTGTGTCCTTTCTGTCTATTTAATCTCTGTTTACCATAAGTGTGGGTTTGGCACCGACGTCTGGACTATCTATTACCTGTTTATTTAGGACTTGTAGAAACAGCACATTTGAAAAGTAGCCTATAATTAGTTGAAATGTCCAAATAAACCCTAAAAAAAAATGAAAGACTTAAGTGTTGTATTTTGGGCCTGACTAAAATGAAGAAAAACAGCAACTTGTGAAAGAATAAAGGATGTTACAAAACATTATAAAAGGCTTTGAGTATGGGTTTGTGGTTTTAGTGCTGGACAGTTACACAAATCCACCGGTATATTTTTACGGCATTCACCGGAAAAGTGTCACTTCTCGTTTACAAGTTTAGCTCTTTTTTTGTTATTCTATTTTTGTGCTTGCGACGGCTCCGTTTTTCTGCAAAGTACCTGGAAAATGCCCGTGCTCATATTTTTATCTCTAGTTGTCTTTTCGCTGAAACTGTTTTGGGAAGGTTTCTGTGCGCGGGGAAAACACCGAGTTGCTAAATTTTCTCTCATTCACACGCGCTTCATTCATGCGCGCGTCAGACACGAAAGCGCGCGGACTTCCTGGCCGGTAGCGTGGGCGGGGGTTCCCGAAAGTCTACCCTCAGTGACGTACATGCAGCAAAACAGCCCATATATGGGCATTGCGTCAGGGGGGGAAAGAAGCCAACGTGGGCACGTTTTCAACGTCAACTTCAATCCGTAAGAATGCTACAGAATGAACGATTCGTGCTTGAAATGAACAACCCAAACCAAACAGTAGAATTATTTTCAAACGCCTTTACTTAAATATCAAAAATATAAACAAAACAAACAGAAACACATTTAAATGGTCTGGCTCAACCGGACTCACAATATCAATAATAACTTACTGGAATGTTTTCATAGGGCAGCACATTAACAACAAAACCAAAGTCACTCAGGGTTCACTTTAAGTGCTTTCATTGTCCAGTCAGGAGTACCTTGTCGGTCAAGATGCTTTTTTTAAAAAACGACTATAATAACAATATAGTTTTCTACAAGAAAACACTTAAGAAATATACAACGCTCGTATTCAGTGCTGCATTGGACCCCATTCATAGACATTAAAAAAAATGAGAAACTATTAAAAACTTTTCAGGACTTTCGATGTTGATGATAGTTAAAACGCGTCATCACGCGTGTCACCAACATCACAAATCCAGCAGAGTTTTTTAAATTGTCATTTAAAAAAAAAAAAAAAAACTTTGGCTATTTGAGCAAACGAAAACACAAAAACTATATATTTAATGTAGTCTCTCATTCACCGCTATAGCCTGATTTCAGCCTGTGTGTGAAAAGGGTCCCTAGCATTTGCATCAAAACATCACAAACATGATCTGCTCTTCCAGTGTTTCCCATTTCTCAGAGTCTGTGTGTAATCGCAGCAGTTCGTTTTAAAACGACTTGATCTTCGGCGTTAACATCAGCTGGCAGCCGCTGCTCACATGGGTCATGACCTTCTGCTTGAGCTGGGCCACTTGCTCCCTCAACAGGGACGCGGTGCTGGACAGTCCGGCGTTATCAGTCTTTAGGATTTTCACTTTGTCCTCCAGTCTGGAGATGCGCTCCAGCTTCCGTCGCCGGCACTTGGTGGCCGCGAGCCGGTTCCTAAGCCTCTTGCGCTCCGCTTTGATGCGCTCCTGGTCCTCCATGTCGATCGGGGACATGGGAGGAGAGCCGTCGCTGCTCTGCAGGTCAGGGACGGTCTGTGGCTCCTCTTTAAGTCGCTGTTGATGGAGCGCGTGCTGGAAGTGATGAGGATGAGGATGAGGATGCGTCGCGTTCTGATGGTGGTGATGGTGGTGGTGGTGGTGGTACTGAGGCAAGTAGCTGATGGTGGCTGTCGGGTAGTTGGCTGCAGCTGGTGTGAGGTTAGTGTTGGGATTGCAGCTGTTTAGAGTGGTGTACACGGGGGTGTCCGGTTGCAAGGAGGCGCCGAAGACGGACGAAGCCGCCGAGCAGGACGACAGTCCTCCGGCTCCGATCGACACGTTCGGCGGGGGCATTTGGTTCATTTTGTGGAGCTCGTCCAGCGCTTTCACGAAGCCGTCGGCGAAGCCCTCCTGCTCCTCTGTGATGCTCCGGGTGTACAGATACTGCCCCGGGGTGGGTGATGTGATGACACCGTTACCGTTCTGTATGATGAGTCTCTCCAGCTCCGGAGAGGCGAGTTTCAGCGAGCCCACGTCTCCGGTCGCCGCGGTGTAGAAGTCGCTTTCGGAGCGGAGGGACTTGAGGTTCCGGTAAGGTTCGGCGAAGCCCACGCTCATGTTCTGCTTTAAAAGCTTGTAGTCGTGCAGGGCAGCGTCTGGATGACCATAAGCAGAAAGAAACGAGTCGTCATGATAAAACGGTTGCTCCATTTTTGTTGACATGTGAACAGAAATTAGCTACGTCGGACGTTTTTGTTTTTTTGTTTTGTTTTTTTGAGTCTGTACAGTTTAACGTCCGTTAATCTTGTTCTCTCCGTAATATTACATGAGGCAAAAAATGATGTCAAAGAAGAGAAAAGAAACGTCCAAAATAGTTTGAACAACTTTTTACTGTACCAAGTCGACAGGTGTTTTCCCTTGACAGCTGATGTCCAAAAAGTGCTTTTTCTGTTCTGTTCCCGTAGTTATTTACAAACAGCAGTACGCGTTGTCCTCGGGCTCCGTGTGCACTCAATCTCTGGAGAAGTGCGCCTCCGAGCCTTTTGTAGTGCGCGTTTCGAGGGCGTGTCGAGGAGAATCGCGGCCGCTGATTGGATGAGAGTTCGTTCCGCTCCTCGAGCTGTCAGATGGGCGATGACGTTGTTGCCAGGAACCGCTGAGATTGAAAACAACGCTGGAGGCGAGAGTGCAAAACTGAAGGGAGAGTTGCGCTCCTGTTTTTGTTTCCACAAACAAGACGCAAAAAACTAGCCGCAATAGTTGCATAGGCACTTAAAAAAATTCCCATGGCCAAGAGAAAACAGAAACACTGTTGTGGTCTTGAGAGAGAGAGAGAGAGAGAGAGAGAGAGAGAGAGAGAGAGAGAGAAATAAACACCTCTAAACCGGTGTCATAAAGAATCGTATAAGCAGATTTATATCATTACAGAAACATGTTTGTCCAAAAATGGAAAACCCCAATTGGTTTCAACCAATTTTCTTAAGAGATTTTAGGGAGAATGTCTAAACAGTTCTTTTAGCCTACATCAAGTGGAAATTATTTTAAATGTCAAGCTCTAAATATATTCCTTTAATTTAGGTGGCAGAACTACACTAGCCATTTAAGTAGCCTAAATACAGGATCGTAAAATGGGATTGGGTCATTTTAACCCGGATGAATGTGTCAGGGTCAACCACATCATCCCGGCCCTTGTGAAAAGTCTAGAGGGGCCCATTATAAAGGCCCTCGATTGTAAAGCGTATGCTGAAACCAGCCTAGGCTTTAAGGCCACGTCCACACGAAGCCGGCGCATTCCCTATCCAATTTTTTTTTCCTCGTTCTAAAAAAAAATTCCGCAAACACAGTGTCGTCTCAAGAAATATCTGTATACACACGAAACCACTGAAACCGATTGAAAATGGTGTAGTGTATATGCCAGACCAGTATGGGGCGCTGTAATTCTGCCACAGAGATACACTATACACGGAGAAGAAGACTTTGAGCATAAACTTCTCATAACTTTGCGCGCAAGAAGTACAAGACGATATATTGCATTAGAATACGCTTTGGAATTGATAAATGTATAATGTATATCTGCTGGTAAACTGATATTTATGTACCCTCTCATTCTTTTTATTTTTTATTTTTTATTTTTATTATTTTATTTTTATTTTATTTATTTTCTGTTCTTGTTGAGGCATGTGAAATATGTTGTATGAGAAATTACAATGTACATGCTACTTGATGTTTACAATAAAGCATAAAAAAAAAAAAAAAAAAAAAAAAAAAAAAAAAGAAGTACAAGACGAAGATGGCGTGTGACGCAGCCGACACGTGATGTGATGACATCATCGTTCACAAAATATATGGATTGGCTGTACACACGAAACCGCAAGGGTATCGTTTTCAGATTTATCCACTTCGGGACCCGGTTTCAAAAAATAGCGGTTTTACTCTCCCAAAACGCCGGATCCGTGTCGACGCCAATACGATAAAAAATTTATATGTACACAGCGAAACGCGTCTTCGTGTGGACGGGCATAAGTGCGTCTCTCCAACAGCAATTCGTATGAATTTTACGAGGTGACTAATTCATAACAATTCGTATGACCTCACTGTACGAATTTTCGCTAGATCGTACATATTTTACGAGTTACCCAATTCGAATGAATTTGTACGAATGACCTACCCCTGACCCCGCCCCCTAAACCTACACTCTAAAAAATGCTGGGTTGTTTTAACCCAATTTTGGGTCAAATATGGACAAACCCGAAATGTTGGGTTAAAAATGTAATGTAAAAATTTAACCCAACGGCTGGGTTAGTCCATATTTGACCCAAAGTTGGGTTAAAACAACCCAGCATTTTTTAGAGTGTACCCAAATCGTCCAAATTCGTAAGAGTGAGGTCGTGAGATGGCGTTGGCCTGGCAAAGCTGGTGTTCAGCTGGTCTTTTAGATGGCCTCCCAGCTTGACCAGCTTAAAAGAGGTGTCCAAAACACCTAAAACCAGTTTGGGAGGACCGCTAAATCCATCCAACCAGCTTAGGCTAGTTTTAGCTGTTTTTCAACAGAGAAAAAGCCATGAGTAATTTAAAATAGGCCTAAGTGTCTGAGTAATACAGAATATATGCATTTTTATTTGAGGGCTTATTGACCATTTGTATTTGAGTAATTTTACTCGATGAGTCATAAAACATGCAAAACAGGAGTAATTATAGGCTTTTTTCATGTATGAGTCCACAGATAAACTATAACATGTCTTTAGAGATTCTTACATTAAGCAAAAGCATAATCATAGCACTCTATTGATCAGGAAAAAACTTACTCACACGATTTGGCAACTGATATCAGTCCCATATATGGGCAAGAGCACACAGTAGTTCCTCTTTAGCGAAGGACCGGGAAACCTCTCCCATGTGGGCCTGATTCCAGAGGCAACGCCTCCGCACATGGAGAGGTGGAGGAGGGGATTACGAGGCAGCACGTACACACACACACACAAGACTGGGAGATCGACCAGCGTTAATGTGACACCTTAATGTAAACTCTATTTCAATATAGTCAAGGTCTCTCATGCTTTATTTAAGGGAATGTATTAGGTCAGGACACAATGGCGCTTCACACCTGCTGTGTGTGTGTGTGTGTGTAGACATTCACACGACCACATGCCAACACCTGTTTTGCACAAAAAGAAAGCCACTACTGTCTCCTCAATATGTTAATGAGACTGAATCATCATGGGCTGAATGCCAGGTGCAAACCCATGTTTCGCCATTCGGCAGCAGCGCAGAACCTTTCACCTCGTTCAGGTACAACACACTCCTGTCAAGAACACACTCTCAACTTCCTCTAATGCAGGCCGTAAAATATTAAACTATGTTGGTAAACACACAACAAATGCCATATTAAAACAACATACCAGCATAAGGAGGTCAAACTAAATATACATTTGTGATTTCAATTTTTGCAATCCTGTTACCAAAATCTGAGGGATACAGTTTAACATCCTGCATTGTGTGTGTGTGTGCAAAAAAATATCAAATAAACTGGAAAAATTCATAAAATTAAGTTCCATTTATAGAAATAATAATTAAAACAGAGTTGCAAAATGTTCCACAATTATGTAAACTAAGTAATGAGATAGCCAGTGTTGGAGAAAATTATGGTTTGGAGTTATTGATAATATTACAATATAGAAAATATATGATGAGTTCAGATGCAAAAGCCATTTGAATTTTTCTTCGTCAAGCTGTATATTTAAGTTCAGCAATTTCACTTAGCCTAAATGAGATCTTCATTACCATTTAAGTGAAATTGCTGATACAAGCTTGATAAAAATTATCATTCTAGAAGAAAATTTCAAATGGCACTCTGATGATTTGTAATCACAACATTTTCTCTTGTCAAATCAACTTAAAATATTTATGTGGTTCAGATAACATAATATTTTGAGTTTCTGATGTTTAAATCAATCTCCTTCATTGTATTAACTCAATTTTTCCAGCTCAATGAACTTAAAATTTTAAGGCAACCAGATTACTTCATTTTTTTAAGTTAAACCAACAATATTTTTTTACAGTGAGGCTTTTGCATCTGAACTCTTCAAATATTTAAGTGTTTATTGACTGTTTGTATTTGAGCATTTGTTTATATAGTACACACACACACACTGTTATGTTTACACAATCTGTATGTTCACCAAGACTGCATTTTACAATTTAAAATAACCCTATATGTTAAAATGTAATTTATTCCTGTGATCAAAGCTGATTTTCAGCATCACTCCTAGATTTAACTCCAGAAATCACTCTAATATGATGATTTGATCCACAAGAAATATTTTTGACCCCAAACATGCATACATACAAACTATATATGTGTATATCCTACTTCTCTTGTCCTCTGAATAATTCATCTGAGTGACAATGATTCACTGACAGTGATCTGAGTGGACTTTTAGTTGTGTCATCAGTTGAGATCAGGGAGGTCATTGTTCAACTTAAGGGCGGCACACTTTCTTCAAAAGTCTCATGGTCACAGGTTCAGTTTTTAAGGAATGCACAGACTCATATACATTTATAGATGTGTATAGTTTAAATGCAATGTAGTTCCTAGCCGCAGCTAGCTGACATATTGTTTGCATCACAATAAATGATACAGTCATTGTCTACCATAATAATGAGTAAGTATTTTTTTTTTTCATTTCAAAATGATGTTCATGAATGAGCCAGTCATAGTGAAAGTGTGAGGCTAGAGAAAAAAAAAAGACAAGAAGAAGATAATACATCCAACCGTAAACATGTGGTGTCGGCACAGAGAGCAGTGGCTTCCGCCTCGTTTCTTTGATATCTTCAAATCAAAATGGCTACACAGGAAGTTGGCTTCCTCTCTCTTCAGTCCACCACCACAAAGTTCAATTCCTATTCTAGAAATCATTCTTTTTAAGAATGTGCTTATGTCCCTTATAGAATTAATAGCTATTGTTTTGATTTTTTTTTTTTTGCCACACCATTTTTTTAGCATCAGTCAAGATACTATTTGTTTTAAAATAATGTAGGTGGTCATGGGCCATATTTTTAGATGTGCATTTGCATTTTTCCTTCAAACAGCTTTCGCTATCAATTGATCCCACTCGCATGACGTCAAACGACTCAGTTTCATCGCACCCAAGTCCAGATCAAAGTCAATTACACAGAAGTGTTCTCCTGTTTTCTTTGAAGGCATATGAGAAGTTGTATCCTTAAAAAAAAAGAACATTTAAAAGAGCATTGATGATTCTCATACCGTTTCATCACGTTTACTGGAGGTTCCAAGGCACACAATTACATTCACGGCTCATGTAAGCGTTGTTGTTTTCCCCAGTGGAAAGATAATCTGGGTTGACAGATTGTAGTTTAAGGCAGTGAAGAAGGTACGGCATGGGGTGAAAGAGAAAAGCTGAAGAAACGAGAGAAAGTGCCTGCGGTCATATCAGTCAAGCTGGTGAACATGGAGCCCGTGGCTTTGCCGAGAGAGGGAACAC